TCCCCCCTTCCCCCCTTCCCCCATTGCAATCTATTCTCTGCATTCCTTGGGGACAATAAAATGCAAAGTCACTCCTCAGCAAGATCAGTGAATCCCATTTTTATTTGCTCATTGAACTTCTATTGCAACTTTCTCCATGCGAAGTTTGAGAAATAAAGAGGGAAACACATTTGGCTGTGAATGTACTTGATTACCCTCTATTGGTGGACAACACAGATATTCTAGCTATTTTTGTAGTATCATGCCACATTCTCTTCTAACAATTGCTTTCAATAATTGTGTATTTTCTTCAATTTTTAGACGAAATCTTGGTATCTTGTTTCTTGGACAAATGCTCTCCTTATGTTTGTGTGGAACAGGAATATTTAGTCAACTACTTGAACAGGATCACCACATCAAGACACCAACCACACAAAGTTTTCTTAATTATGTATTATTACTGATATTATTTATGAGCCAACTGGTTTACAGAGGGGGATTTCTGGAAGTATTAAAGGAAAGAGGATGGAAGTACTTGGTTCTTGGTTTGATTGATGTGGAGGCTAACTATCTGGTGGTAAAAGCATACCAGTATACAAACCTTACAAGTATCCAGGTACAGTATTCTGCATACACTATACAGTATATTCTGGTTCCTCTTTTTCTCTTTTTACAGTGCAGACATTGATCGAACCATTCGTGAACACTTTGAGGTTTTTAAAACATTTTTGAATCTTTCAGTCAGAAGCCAGATTCATAATGATGCTCAATTTTTCCACACGAACCAAGAGTGTCTTGTGCATTCCTGTTGTTGTAATAGTTTTTAAAATAAATACTGTAAAAAATTCTAATATAAAGTGTATCAGTTATTTTGGATATAACTGCTACTTTGTACTTCATCAATAAATAATATTTTTGTTTTATTTCTGTAAATTATTAAATGTTTGCGCTTATAGTAGTTATTCTGAAAATATGTATGTATGTAAAAAAAAAAATTCCCATGAGTGAGCTGTAAGTAAAACATTTCAAGATTTTCTGCCATTTGTTGGGATTGGATTGTGCCTAAAAGATGCTGGATCCCTTTGTTTCTATGGAGAGTGCTGATTCATGATAGTTATGAAAAAACTTCATAAAAATTTCTAAGGGGTCATAGTTCAAGTGTCAGAACTATAATCAATATGTCATTGTCTCCTCATCAATATCATTATCACTACCGCTACTGTAACCATCATAGTCACCAGAACCATTATCACTGTCAGTTACAGTGTACATGTAGATCAACATAATGATTCAATTTTTTTAATCAAACAGCTACCTCCGGGCTGATAAAGTCAGCAATTCACAAATCAAATTAGAATTTAGCTTTTAGAACCAACTTGACTTGCATGAGATGTTGATTCAAGCAATTAAACTGCAAGACCAAACCATCATCATCATCATCACAACCACCATCATTATGTAATGTGCAGCGAGTGATTATATGGCAGATACAACACAAACTTGTGAAATTCACTAATAAATCATAATAAATTCTTTGGGTAGTTTTGAATTTATATGCTAATTAGATACAAGCACTAGTTATATACTGTACGGGGTTTTGAATTTGCTACTTCAGTCCCTATTTACACAACAATTATTGATAAGCTTTTGACCAGCATGAATAGATTCAGCGCAATGCTACTCAACACAATGACGCATGAAAAAATAAGGAAGTGCTTGCAATATGTGAAAACAAATAAAAATAGCAAGGACAAACTAAGATATTTGGCTTACAAATTTCTTTCTTCCATGCACTAGCTTCGTATGGTTTCATCTATACAATAAGGGTTAAAGTAGCAAAATACAGTATTATCATTGTCATGATTATTGTCATTATCACTACCATTGGCATAATCATCATTACCTTTATCTTTTTAAGGAAATAATAATAATAATTTCTTGCCTTGTCTTTCAGGTCCTTGATTGTTTTTCCTTACCAACAGTATTAGTTCTATCCTTAATATTTTTAAAAGTCCGGTATAAGTTAGTACATTACATTAGTGTGGTGGTGTGCCTCGTTGGAATAGCTTGTCTGGTAACTGCTGATTATTATGGCTCTAGATATTATGGACCAGGTCAGTTAATAATAATTCATAATTATTAAGTAATGGAAATAATGTTGAAATATGGTTATGGCTTTTGGGCTACCTGTGGTTAGAGTAATTAATGATTACGTGAGATGTGATTTTTAAGAAAAAATGATGCACTAACTGAGTGACAGGTATGACAGACAGGCTGGTGGCTGACTAACATGATTGGCTGATGTACTGCCTGCCTGCCTGCCCGCCTGCCCGCCCGCCTGCCTGCCTGACTGCCTGACTGACTGACTGACTGAAGGACTGACAGACTGACTGACTGACTGACTGACTGACTGACTGACTGACTGACTGACTGACTGACTGACTGACTGACTGACTGACTGACTGACTGACTGATAGCTATTGCTAGCATGGTTTTTCCATTAGTTATCACAAGAGATATTCCAACCAAACACAGCTCTTGAAATTCTAGAGTTTCCCTTAGTCTCTTCTGACATTTCATTGATCAAGTGCGGTAAGTAGAATGACAGGGCTCTAGGGTCAAGAATGTTGAGTGCCCCCAAGGAAACCAATATCAGTATGAAGATTGTTTTGCACAAGTGTGTGAGTAACTTTTGAACAAGTTTTTAGACAAGGAGAAAGGTAATTCACATGTCATTGGCAGGACAGGTAGATTACCTCAAAACTGCTTTACTAATAATTAATTGGATTTTTGTAGGTTCAAATCAGATTCTTGGTGATGCATTGGTCTTGTGTGGAAGTATTTTGTATGGTCTTTCTAATGTGTCCCAAGAATTCTTGGTCAAAACCTTCAGCAGAGTAGAATTCCTGGCCATGATTGGTTTATCTGGATCTGTTGTTTCTGGAATACAAATGTGAGTTTCTTGGTATAGATGCTTTTTGAAATGCCTGAACATAGTTGCTCCTTCACAACTCTTTTGGGAGTCCTGTGTTTTAAGACCTCAATTTATGGGAGTCAATGTTGTTATGATAGAGGTTTTGCAATCACCTCTCACCTCTAGTGTTTTATGTAAAACACACTAAGTTCCAGTTGAATCTGTTAGCATAGTTAATGGAGTGGAATGGTTTTGAAACCTATTGTTCTAGGTTTTGTTTGGCTTTATCCATTGTCATATGACATTAACAGTGCACAGAGAAGGAAAAGTTGCTCCATTTGTTCATAGTATGCGCAAACATAGAAGTTTTTTTTTAAAAAATGTTCTAAAATAGCTATTTTTGTTGTTTTTTGTTGTTCCTGCATTGCTAGCAAAAATAATTTTGAAATATCCAAATACAATAAAATAACATCAACAAACATTTTCAGAGCAATATCAAATTTATAAACAAATTATGATTTTTCCCCTGGCAATAATGTATTCATTATTCTTGAATTATTATTTTGAATTTTCACTTGAACAAATTTATTTTTTTCCAAGGGCTGTGTTGGAAAGACATGAGCTTTCTTCAATTGAATGGAATTATGATGTCGGTAAGTATAATCTGTGTTGTGTCAGTTGAAGGTCCAGGAAGACGTTTACTGACCAATGTACCCTTATTGGCCAGAAATTCCTGGGAAATGTAAGAAATAGCATCTCTGATAACCTTAAAAGCTTTAAATTTTATCGAACCCTGAAACAACCTCTGGGCTGATCTTATCCAGGGCACAGCTATCTCACAGGATCGAATTAGAATTGAGAGTGTTTGGTTTTGCTGGAGAAGAAAGACTGGAGATCCCGGGGAAAAACCTCAACTGATCAAGAAATAATCACTCATAAGAGGTGAGAGGCGAGTGCATGACCCCTACACTGATTCCACAGGGAGCCCAATTTAGATTAAAGTGAATGTTAAATAATGAATTATTTTTTAAATTCGAGATCAAGATAATGTCCTCCGTAATGCGAAAGAGCAAAAAAATTAATGAAAAATGCACTAGAACATTTTTTTTCGCGCGTGCCTTTGTTTTCCTATATAATTTCCCTATGGTATCTGATGTCGATCTTATGTATATATATACTCTGACAGTCAGAGTATATATACATACGATCAACATTAGATACCATAGGGAAAGTATGATATAGGAAAACAAAGGCACGCGCGAAAAAAATTTTCTAGTGCATTTTTAATTGCCTTTTTTTTATTTTACTCTTTCGCATTACGGAGGACATTATCTTGATCTCGAATTTAAAAAATAATTCATTATTTAACATTCACTTTAATCTAAATTGGGCTCCCTTTGATGTGACCATGTTTTATAATTAATTCTTATTTCTTTGTTTCTCTAGCATTTTATTTCCTTGGATTTGCTGTGTGCCTTTTTCTCTTGTACACACTCATGCCAATAGCGTTGAAGATCAGTAGTGCAATGGTGGTGAACCTGTCGCTTCTGACTGCTGACTTTTACACGCTATTACTCGGCTTGTTACTCTTCAAGTACAAGGTAGGGCTATCACATTCAACTGGTTACAGATTTCCTCGGCTTGGGAGTAATGTTTTCACATGTTAGGCCACGTGTCATTTCCTTGAGCATTATTTCTTTGTTTAACGGTTGCACATGAGAAGGCACATGCATATTGATCCAACTCAAACAAAGAATATTATTCCAACGGCAATGACTCATGGACCGGAATGGAAAAACAATACGCGTAAGCTAAAAAAGCCTACTTTTCAATGGTACTCTCTGAAAATATAGTTAATTACTTTTAATCCTATACTCATTCCTAAGGCTGTTTTATAGGGCATGAAGCTTAGAACTCTTTTAAAATACCGTAAACCTACGAAAATAAGCCCAGAGCGGCTTGTTTGCGCAAGCTCAATGTACCTTTTTGCGTCTCATAAATACCGTTTTTAGCGTTAGTGAACTCAATGGCAACTGTTTTCTGGACCTTGCGTCTCTCTTAAACAAGCGGGAACAAGCTTTTTTCGTCATGAGTCACATAAGGCCTTCAGGCTTTATTTAGTTATGACATAATATTGTCGGCGAACTAATAACAACTAAAAGAGCTATATATGAAATCACAAAATTGTAATACTTGGAAACAGTATACATCTTAGCTTTTGTTTGATATATTATAGTGTATAGGTATATTCCCATGGATCCCGTGGACTCAGTATGGTAAAAAACCAGTAGGGCCCGGTTGTACGAAGGGTAGATAGCGCTATCCAACGGATACATCCTTATCCAGTGGATAAGTCAATACTGTTATCCAATGAATTTAGGATGGATAAGATTTACACGTCTATCCATCTTTAGTACAACCGCTGATCGTGGAGACTATGGGCTCAATTATGTTTAGGAGTGCTTAGAATGAATGTTTCAAATTTATCGTCCTTATCTTTAGTAGGGCTTATATTGAAGGCGCGATTACACGGAGCATTTGGCGTTGCGACACAAGTTGCATGGAGTATAGACCATTTTCGAGTTCCAAATTACCGCTGTCTTCCTTGATTACAGACTCATTTACTCAGTCTTAGCCTCGAATCTGTGTCTAAATATTCACAAATACCAACGGTAAAGTAAAGAATGCACAACTTCAACAATACAAACACTTTGAAATTCCACGGATCTTGACTGAAACACGTGAATATTCTGCACAAAATCGAGGCTAACCCTGAGCAACAGAGAACTCTTAACTTGAGGATTGCAGCGTCTAACTTACAGCGCAATTTGAAAACTGTTGCGAGACTAGTTGCAAGAGAAAATTGCTCCGTGTAATCGGGTACATATTTTTTTGGTATTCTTATTGGATAACTACGATTTGTACTTTTCTGTTTTCCTTTTCAGTTTTCACCACTTTATTTTGCTGCATTCTCCCTGGTGATTACTGGACTTGTGTTCTACAACAGCAAATCTGTCCCTACACTACCCCCTTCGAATCGAACATACTTACAGCTGGAGGATGAAAATTCACCTCAAGAAACAGAATTAAACGTTTGTTGTTAATAGGTTAGTTTAGTATAGTGCACACCATATAGCCGTGAAAAACGTAAATTAATGAACTTGCCCAAATTAGTAAGCTCAGTACACCTCAGTAGACCATAGACCTACAAAACGTTGCACTAATTTGAAAATTTTTGTTTGTTAACTTTTTCAAAGCAGATTAAGATAAAAGAGTCAACATTTGTAAGTATGAACGTATAGTTTACTCAGCAGAATTGATGGATTCAATTGCCGTGTTTTGAATCTAAACGAACAAGCAATAGGCTTAAGCGAGTAAGTTAAGCTCCTTTCTGAAGTGGACCTGCTTCTCCATATATTTCAAAGAACGGCGTTCTTTTAATAAGACAAATTATCCACGGTTTAATTATTTTGCCATTAGAGACCTTTTGCTCTAAGTTCTTGCTAGGTACCGCGAACCTTGATCTACTTACAGTTTGAGGTCAAGCGTTTTTCGTCAAACTTTGGAGTACACATATATTAACGAAGTTGTTGTTGGAAAAGCGGCGATATTGAATTTCTTGGATGCTTAGTTATGCTCGCTTTTAGTGGTACTATTTCTGTCAGTATAAAAGTATGAAAGGGCCACAGGTTTGTTAGCATATTGCTATTTAGTGCTACCCTCAGTAAATAAAGAGTTTATTATTATTATATTATTATTAAACTAATTTATTTAAAAAAAGACAATGAAAGAACACGATTTATTCTGTGTACTAGTAAAATGCATAATTAACACAATATTCAGGCAATGAAATGCTGAGGCAAATAAGAAACGTGAAAACCTACCTTCTGCCGTTGAAAACGTCATGAACCCACGTCAAACGTGACTCCAGGGTCTAGTTACGTGATCCCTAGACTTTCGCAAAGTCCGCCGCCCGCTTTTTTTTTTTTTTTTTTTTTTTTT